CATTCTGTTTACCACAGTCTCAGAGTGCCTGGCTCTTGTCTATGGGGATAAAGAGTTAACTCCTTATTGGTCCTTTACACTTCTCAGGACTTTTGATGGGTGGCAAAAAGGAGTTCAGAACCCAAGACTTTGCTATCAGAAGGCAAGACTCAGAGCACCCTGGGCAGCTTAGGGAAGGAAACAGAGTAGGCATAAAAGAGAAAGTCTGTCTCCTTTGCAGGAGAATTGGTTTTCCCCTCTTATTGTAAGAGACATCTTTAAAATCCTTCTCTAAAGAAGTGGGAATAAGGATGAAACAGATTTAAGAGACCCTGTCGCTGTGGTAGATGGAGAAAAGGAAGCTCCAGTGCCCTAGGACAGTGGTCGGCAAACTCATTAGTCAACAGAGCCAAATATCACAGTACAACGATGGAAATTTCTCTTGAGAGCCAAATTTTTAAACTTAAACTCTATAGGTAGGTACATTGTTATTAACTTAATTAGGGTACTCCTAAGCTGGCCTTTGCTAAAAACGTCCTCAATCTGATTGACGTACGATCGCTGAGGTCGACCCCTTCCAACTCTCCCATCCACACTCGTCTTGTATACTTGTTTCGTCTATCTCCTTTCGTTCATCCTCTCTATATGTCCCCCCCCCACTTCTTCTAACGCCACTTCTTCAAAATAGACTCGCCCAGGCCGAAAACCGACTTCTGCGCATGGGCCACGAAGTTTCAATCGCACTGTATGTGCGCGCCCGCAAGTGGTATTTTGTAGAAGAGCCACACTCAAGGGGCCAAAGAGCCGCATGTGGCTCGCGAGCCGCGGTTTGCCGACCACTGCCCTAGAAAGCAGCAGCACAAAGTTGTGAACTCCTGCCGAGAGAAACTTACTCTACCTGGGCAGCGCCTTGGTTAGGAGTACTCCCGACCTGCTTCCCAACTGCACCCCAGCCTAAAGGAAAAAGCACCACAGTCTGAGTCAGGTGACCTGATTTTAAAATATTTTATTACATAATCTTTTCATGGCACCATCAGGAGTAACAGAAAACGTTATTCCCAGTTCCTAACCACATCCTGAAAAATATACATATGTATTTATATATTTATATCAATACTCCACCCTATCCCATAATTCCACCACCTATTATAGGTCTTTTGCTTAAAGCAAGAAACTATTCTCTCAGGTAAGAAAATATATATGGAAGCTAAATGCAGGAAGGGTTAGAATGACGGGACAGCTGGTTGTGGGGCAGGGCGGAAGGGGAGAAGTCGGGTTAGGCAGGATGTGTCAGGGTCCAGCAGAGGTGGAGGAGGACAGTGCATAAAAAGGCAGCGTCGGGCAGGTGGGCTCTGGTGTCCTTGGTCCATTAGGAGATGGCCTTTGCCTCAGGAAGGAAGGCTTCCCAGTACTTTGCCAGCTGTAAAGAAGTGGGGACAGTAAGCACGTGCCCCCATCGGGTGGCAGAGCCCGAGCTTGGAGGGGAAGCAAGCACAGAGCCATGGCACTCCCCCAAGAGCCTCAGCCACCCCCACAGCGAGGCCTGAGGGGAGGTGGAGCTGAGGAAATGGCCAGCCACACGGCCCAATCTCTCTCTAGACTTAGAATAATCTCTGAAGACAGTCCTGGTTCTGCCCCAGAGGAAGCATCCCGTGGAGGTCACAGCTTTGCCCAGCTCGGTTAGCTCCTCACAGTGGGGGCCATTGTTCCACATATAGATTGGGTTAGGTGGTATTAAGGGGTTAAAGGGAGAGGAGAGTTGGGGTTTGTTCTTAAAAAACAAACTCGTTTTAGGATTAGGGCAATCCTGCTTAGCGAAAGACCCTATTGGATGTTCCATGTTAGAGCAACAGGGCCTACTTTTAATTATTGATTATAGCAGGGCACAGGCACCCCCTGCCCGCCCCCCCACCCCCCTTCTCCAGCAGGGCCAGCCCATCCTGTCACAAAGCCACAAGCAGGCAGCTGGTCTGTGGAGCACGCAGCAGAGGATGAAAGTCGTGTGTAACTTACATACCTGCTGCTGTGAGTACAGGAGTGTCTCAAGGTACTTGATCACGTGGTTTCTGAAGTCCTTGGATTTCTCTTTCTATAGGAGACAGGATTCTACACTGACCACCCAGACAGTGCTTCTTCCCCTCTTGATAGGATGGTGGTGGGTACTGCTGACCAGTGCTGCACAAGCTCAGGAAGTGGAGCCAGCAGCTGAGAGAGCTATCATTTCCAGCCAAACAGCCTCTGCCAAGGTCTTTCGAGGTTTTTTGTATGGCGGGTGTGGGAAGGGAGGAGACAGGACAGGAGACCACAGGGTATATGACAGCTGCAAGTTTTATTTTGTGTCTAACTGTTCTAGTTCAGCAGCAACAAGTGCCTTAGGAACAAACACACAGACGTGAACATGAAGACACACACACACACACACACACACACACACACACACACACACAGCCACTCCTTTTCACAACAACTGCCAAGTTACTGGCAGCTCCACCTGTCTCTCTACTCAATAGACTTGGACAAAACCAACACCACTACTAAAGCAGGCACGGCACACCTGTGAGAATAAGATCTTCTATCTCACCTCAAAGCGTATCACTTCTTTTCGGACCACAGTTGAAATCCTTTCAAAGTCCCTTTCATACTGAGTCACCCGAGACTCCCACTGGGAAGAAAGAGGAAAAAAAGGATCACTTAACGTTATGGTATCATTATTAGTCTTTGTCTTTGGACAGCAATCCTATATTTGAGACCTCAATTGGTCATTCTGTCTGTCTGCCCCTCTGGGTAAGATCAGATAGCATGTGGGGATTTAGCGTGTAAGTCAGAGTCTGGCAGAAGGCCACCTTGGGGCTGGCTGGAAGGGATGCCTGGTTTGCAGGCCGATCCTGCATCTGGGAAAGCTTGTAACTGCAGAGCTCTGGTCAGGTCCTCACCAACAAGGCTGGCGCCCAAAGAACTGAATTCGTTCTCACCAGGGGGCATAGCTGAATTACCTTTTCCAAGACCTCGCCAGGACCCTTCCAGCAGAGACTGACTGAAGTCTGGGTGAATGGGAAGAGGAAGAGGGCAGGCCTCAAGGCCAGCCAGCAGCCACCGTCCTTCACACTCAATCACCTCTCTCACCTGAGGTGGCGTGCCAGCATCGGGTGCAATGGGACCACAAACAACCCTGTCAGGCTGCTTCAGGGCCTCACCTCCACGATCTCGTCCTTGGCCTGCTGCAGCTTGTCGGGCTTGTTGGCCCACAGCAGCCGAGCCTCAGCCTCCCGCTTCTTCTGCAGTGTGGCTTGAGCATCCTGCCAGCGCTGCCACGTCTTCATGCGCTGGTCGAAGGCAGCCTGTGGGTGAGGTGTTGGGGAAGAGCACAACCAGCCCTCAGGAGCTCCACCGGCTCCGCCTGGGGGGGCTTTCCCAGTGGCTGGGCTGGGGAAGGACCAGAGCAAGGGCAGGTTTCGCAGCCCAGTGTTAGTGCCCAGCTGAAGTTTAATGTCAAAAGCAGAAGCTTGGGTAAGACTCCTCTCCCAGCCTCCAGCGGGCCAGCGCCATGCTGCTGCATGCCACTCCCAAGGCTGGATGGCTGGGAGCACCAGAGGTGGCCTGAGGCCAGTGCCCAGTACGACAGCTGCTGAACGCCTCCCTCAGGCCAGCCAGTCCATGAACCTACACACTCCTCCTGAGTGCTTGCCATGTGCCAGGAACTACCAACACAGTGGGAAATGAAACACACATGGCTTTCCTTTCATGGAGCTTATACTCTACTAGAAAAGACCGACATTATGTTAATAATCACCAATAAGTAATTATAAGTATGCAGAGTACAGAGAAAACAAGCAGGTACTTTAATAAACTGGGGACCTAGCTTAGCCTGGGAGATATATCAGGGAAGGCCAACATAAGAAAGCAACCTTTAAACTGACAACCAAATACTATACAGGGTTAGCTCAATAGATCTTTAAACACTTAAAGGCCCCTCAGGGACATGGTGCTATTGCCCCATCCATACACTCAATTGCTCTAGGCTATCAAGTGCCCCAAGAAGCTCCCTAAAATCCACTTGATGGTTTTCCCTGGTTCTAGTCACTTGCCCACAATCAAGATTTCCAGACGACAGTTGTTGGCCTAACCAAACCATCCCATATCCCCACTGGCTTTGCAGGCTTCCAGACACAGCCTGGGGGAAAGATGTGTGCCTGTGGCCAGCCTCTCAGCCCTGTTCCATTTGCTCCCCTTCCTGGCATAACAAGTTCCCTGGAGGTTTTCGAGGTACAGGGCTTTGCTGAAACTTGAACCTCAGGGAGTGAGATGCCACCAAATTTACTTTCCCCAGTAGTGCCACTAGGATCACTTGAAATTTCTTAACAGCTCAAAGTCAAAGGATTAGGTAAAGGGTGACCTCATACCCAAGTAAGACCCAAGCCTAACCCCAGGGCTCACAGCGGTACAGCCCAACTTTGGGGAGAGGCAGAGGAAATCTGCTCCCTCTCTATTCTCACCACCAGCTCACGACCATGAGGAGGGCAGGCAAAGTCTCAGGGAAAAGCCCAGCTGGCAGCTCTGTGCTCTGAGGCCTGCTGCCCCAGCACCTGGAGCTTTAGGCCAGGCCTCCCTCACCCCTGTCCACAGGGGCTGCCCCTGCCCAGGCACCATATCCAAGCTCTTTGCCCCTGCCCAGGCAAACAATGCTCCTCTCTGACAGGTTCCCCAGAGAGTGCTCTTCCCTGGAATGGCTCTCCAGTCTAAGCAGTCTGACCAGTTCTAACAATTCCAAAGCAGGTTATCTTTCCAGCTCTTATCACTCTGGGTTAGCAAACCAAAACGCAAAGTGACAGGACAATGAGCAGCCCCACAGAGGAAACGAGAGCCCTGGAGCAGCTCGGCTCCTGACAGCACAGGAGCCTCTGTGCAGGGAGATGGCGGATGGGGAGTGAAGGTGGCTCCGTAGCAACTCAGAGGCTCATTCATTCTGGGCCCGTCAGATCAGAGGCAGACTCAGGCCTTACAGGGCTCTTTCCTCTGTCTCAGGGATGTCATGCGAGAGCTAATCCCACTTCCCAGTGAAGCTTCCTGGGCTGCTCCGAGAGGTCATGGGAAACCAGTGTCCTGGTCACCAGGAGAAAAGGTGAGGTGCTTGACCTGAGGGGCAGGCTGCAGTGTTGTTACCAGTGTGGTCAGCACAGCACACAAAGGGCTCTGGTGACAAGCTCTCTCAGCCCCTGGCCACACTCCTCCATGCAATGCCAAGCTGGTTCTGTGTAGTTACCTGACTGCTCACATTGGAGGACAAGTGGAAGCCAGCAAGAGCTCTTACCAGGGCAGAGCCACCGCTTACTGTTAAGGAGGCAAAGACCAAAGGACTGAGGAAATGACTGCGCCAGGGCGCCATGACATAAGCCTTGCTTGAAGAAAGGAGCATGAGGACGCTGTCCAGCTTCAATAAAAAGGAGGGGTGTATTGGGAATTCAAGAGTGGTCTTTTCTCCTAATGCATTTAAAAAACTGGCTGTGGGCCTCAAAATGACTTAGCAATAACCAGCTAACAGTTAAATGGATTTCTTGGTTCACAGGATGCCTTCTCTCTTGAGAATAGAAAAAGTTTCAGCTATTCTGAAGTATAATGAATGAAACTTTTTTGGGAAGGGGAACAGCAAAGGGAAGACAAATGAAGTCAAGGGGAGGAGAAAGAGGAAACAGAAGCTTACTCGGACTATGGCCAGGAGGCGAATGTAGTCACTCAGGAGCTCGGCAAGGAGGAAGAAGTCACTGTTGGCCTGTTCTTGGTGGAGCTGCTCAACTTTTTCTTCCACCTCAGCCAGCTGGGAGAGCGCCCGTGACAAGGCTGTGTTGTCCTCTGAGCTCCCAAGCATGGCTAGACTCTTGGCAAACTGGGCCGTGTTCAGCGCTAGCTCTGGAAGGAGGAAGACAGCAGAGCCTCTTACCTCACAAGGAAAAGGGACAAGTCAAAACCAAAACGACACAAAAACAAAAATAGAAAAGGGACAAGTCAGCTGGTGCCTGGCGTGTCTCAGCGATGCTGCCCAGTCACACCACAGTCAACTGCATTCAGAAAGTGAGGGAATGCAGCTTGGCCACAAGAATAGGGAGAGGCACCTGCTAGCGTGAGTTTCACTAGCTGGGTCTACCTGGGAAAAGCAGCTCCACTATTCCTGAAGAGCCAGAGGCCAGTTAATACTAACGGGCCAAAGGAACGATTCTGTTTGTGCTAGAGCTCATGGTAAGAAGCCTGTCTGCATGAGAGTGAATGCTGTGCACGCTGCACAGTCTTGCATATTCTAGAGCAGGACAAACTTTTTATGTGAAGGGCCACATATTTTAAGCTTTGCAGGCCACATTTGGTCTTACGTGCTTTTTAAAAAATTCATCCTTTAAAAATGTAAAAACCATTCCTAGCACAGCAGTAGGCCCTGGGCCAACCCTTGCAATGGTCTCATTCTAATGGTTTTTGCCTCTTTAGGTTTCTGGTGATCCAGCATGCTTAAGGCAGAAAAGGAAAGCATTCAAACTTGGCAAAATTTACTAGCCCTTTAGCAAATCTCACTAAAGAAAAATGAGAAAGGGTTAGGAGACATACCTGGTTTCCCTACATTTACAAATTGCTCATTTGACCAGGTAGCTAAAGTCTGGGATATCATTCTGTGGATATAAGCCACCAACTCAAATCATACCAACAGAAGCCCACGTCCCAGGTCTAGCTGTACCTGGGATGGCTCCCTGCCCAGGTAGAAAGTACAAGGCCCACAGTGACTGAGTCATGTTTCTTGCCAGGAGATGCAGGCATATCTTTTCGATCGGAACATCAGGACCAGGTGGGCAGAAAATTTCAATTTGAGTGGCTGAGAGGCTTGGGAACAGCATGCCCTCCCATGTCCAACTCATTGGAGACATCAATTTCCCCCGGCTTCAAGTGCATTCAGAGGTTGTTACCTTTCCTATGGTTGACTAGAGTTTCTACAACAGCATGCAGTTTCCGTAAGCGCTGCTCCTCACACTCTACCTCCTGGAGCTTCTCCTCAAACCACTGAAACACACAAGCCCAGAGCTTTAATGGAAGCTATTCACATAGGTACAGCGCAGTCTTTCCTTAGCAGTTTTTTAAAAAGGAACTGAATTATCTTAAAAAGAAAGTCTCTAATTTCAGAAATTCCAGGATTCCTCAGGGCTTCCGATCTGTAAGCCTGAGGGAGTGGGGGCAGCACAGGGCTACTCACAATGTCTGATTCATTCATCTTGATGGTCATTTTGCTAACTGCATCTGTGGCTTTGTTGAACATCTTGAGGAGACCAGCGCCACTCAATGTCTGGGTACCCACAGCACGTGGCAGCTACAAGACCAAGAAGGCGGGGATGGCAAGTTATCTGCTGCCCCTATTTTAGGTTCAGAAGAATTAGTATCTATCAGATGGCATGCCCAAAACGTGCCAAACAAATTATTTGAACTGTAGATTGTTGTTTTCAAAGGCAGACACATCTATAACCAGCATGTACAGAAAAAAAAATATCAAAGGACCATGCTAAACAGAATCAGCAACATTTTCTGCTTTTGATAGTGTATGCAGAAAGCAGTGTATGAATGTTATGGGGCCAGGTGACCTCATGTTGAAATTGTCTGCGCACCCAGGCATGAAGTGCTTAAATACCAAGTATGCTTTTGTCAAAAGTCAAAAATTCCTTTGGATTAGCATACTCTGCACACACCTGGACTTAAGGTCTTGAAAGTCTTTGAAGTTGTGCTCTGATTCTATTTGGATTTTCCCCAGTGATTAAAGATCCAAGGACAGGAACGTTATTTATTCAGATTGTGGCTATGTTTAGCGATGATCTAATTAAGCAAAAAAAAAAAAAAGAGCCAAATATTTATAACCATTTGATTGGTTCAGTCTTTCAGAACTTTCCTAAGGCATGGATGGAAGGGATGCTGAAAAATCTATATATACAGCATACCATAATGAAAAATTAGATTTAGGACACTTAGGGCAGTAATCCTCAATATGGCATTATTTTACCACT